CATCTTAGATGATGTTGAGGATTTTGAAAGCTACTTGCCATTCGAGTTTGTTGGAAATGGTTTGTTGTCTTCACTGGAAAACGAAGCGAATATCGCATTTTTCATCGTTTGCCCAGTGGACTATACGTGTTGGATGAAATGGGTATTTATAAACAGCAGAATTGGATTTCCGATGAAAATCAACTTGCTTATTGGAAACTTTAATTTGTATTTATGCACATTTACTATAATCAATTTGCACATTTATTATTGACGCCTCTTTGAGTACTTCACTAGCAGCAATATTTGATTAGAGTAGATGTTAATAATAAACTGCTCAAAGAAAGTGGCGCATTCTATTTAGATCTTTTGGTGTTTATTATTGGTTACAGTTTCTTTGCCATCGAAATGTTAGGACTCACTAGACTATAAGGGTATATTAAAAAAAGGATTTTCACGATTTGCTTTAGCATAGGATGCTTATTGAGTGACTAGGGTTGCAATTTTTGATATCAACCAGCATGGTTATTTGCAGTTTTGTACTATTTTAACGTTTGCAGTTTGTTATATCACTTGCGATTTCTGCCTATTTTGGCATGAGAGAAAAAGGTATGCAAATGACTTGTGCTTGGTGGCTAGCAAGAGCATTTCTGGCCAAAATCATACAAGTTCTAGCTAAGTTGGATCTGAATATGACTATCGAGGAAACTGTTTGGTTGTTTACTGGAGGAGATACGGTGGTGGAATAGCTACCTGATGCAAGCTGCAGGAATCAAGAAGTCACCTCCTTTGCACATTAGCGGTTTCAAACAGCCACTGAAGTGTCAAAGACATGTTGTTATAGCACACCAGCGATAAGTTACAAGATCAAGATCCATGGTAGCTGCCCTTGTACCTCTGATGATGAGTTGTAAAGGTTCATACCCTACTATTGTAAATAAATGGGGTGTGCGATAGACTTACCTCCACGTGGTGCACCCTGTGCAACGTATACTCATACGGCAAAAAATTCTATTAACTGGCAGTTGACTTCAAACTACCATGACCCCACTGTATGACATATTCGACCACTTCCACAGTAGTACATCACATTTTTTTCTAAATTTTCAACCTTAATCTTTGAAACGCTCTTCAGTTCTCCTCCTCTCGATTTTTTTCACTTTGATGTTCCTTCTCCTCTGTGAAGCCTGTGACTTGTTTTCACTTTGATGTTCCTTCCCCTCTGTGAAGCCTGAAGGCAACTAAAGGGCTAATGATAACCTTCAAGATGCCTGCCATTATCACTTTGATGTTCCTTCCCCTCTGTGAAGCCTGAAGCCTAAAGGGCTAATGATAACCATCAAGACGCCTGCCATTTGTTAAGGGCTAATGATAACCATCAAAACGCCTGCCATTTGATAGAAATAAACTATTGTAAATAAATTAATGTCTGTCTTTAAGGCTGATTCTTTGATCGCTTATAAATCGAATTCTCCTACTTGTCATATCCAAACGAGTTTATCGATTCTAGTTTTTTATATCTGCCCTTTTCATTCAAAAGTACTTTGAACGTGTACCCCTTCTCCCACTCTCACCCCTCCTCTTCCTCATCGCCCTCATACTTTGGACCACACAACTCTTTTTGAAAGTGTTGTTTGCTGATGTTAATTGTAACAATCTTTCATATAACCGTGACAGGCCAATACTTCCAATTGGCTTTGCTATCTAGCTAGGCCTGCATGTGCAAAGATGTAACCTTGTAACTAACTCCATTTGTCATCCAAAATAGTTATACGCTGTGTAGTAAACATTCCAAACGGAATATTAATGCTTCACTGTGCAGACTTCTTTTCAGGGAATCCCTGCTCCTTGCTAGTGATTGCCCTAAGTCGTTTTCTTCAAAAGTTTATTTAAGTACAACAAGTAGGTATGCAGAGATGAGACTCAAGCCTAAGACTTCTGACTTCGCTGACGAAACAGATACCTTAATGTTTTATTATTCAACTGCCCGTGCGAAAGGTTTTAAGTGACCTTCATTTGTTTGAAGGTCACATACACACACTTGTACTCGCTTGTCATTTAATATTCTTGTATTCTCTCGTCTCATCTCTCTCTTTCAACTCATTTTTTGAAATAAACTATAATGTAACCTTGACAGTCCAATACTCCTAATTGGCATTGTTATCTGGCTAGGCCTATATGATGTGACCAGATGTGACCTTGTAACTAACTCCGTTCAGTCATCCAGAATAGTTATATACTGTGTGATTAGCATTCCATAAATAAGATTAGGGTATTAATGTGCAACTGTTCTTTCAGGGAATCCCTGCTTCTTGCTAGTGATAGTTCAAAATTATTCTTTTCAACATTTGAAAAAAACGCATACCTTGTTGTTTGGTTATTACCTTTTAAAATGGCATAGACTTTTTTCTAGCAGAGACATTATTATTCGAATATAAAGCTGTGGTACAACCTACTTAGACATTGAACAAACAAAACCAACTAGAAAATGAAACATTTTCTTAACAAAAATTATTCAACATCGTAATTACTTATACACAGGTGGGGTAAATATTCATTAATTTTACACATTTTCGAGGTTTACTCTGCTAAGTGGCTGCTCTGCAACTGCCTTAATCCATATCAAGTTACACACTTATGACCTCTCAATCTATCTACTAACCACTATACAATAAAAGCATTAATATATCTCCTCGTTTAAATGGATGGCACAGACAGACTCCAGTGACAAACGAATTTATATTTTTGGCAATTGTGGGGCTCTAGCTTATATGGTAGAGCGCTCGCTTAGGATGCGAGAGATGCTGGGATTGTTGTCCAGGTGCTCCATGTCTCCGCCACTTTGGGATGTGCGCGATAGACTTACCTCCACGTGGTGCACCCTGGGTAACACATACTCATACGTCAATAAGCGTCTATTAACTGGCAGTTGACTTCTGACTTCAAGCTACTATCACCCCACTGTATGTCATATTCGACTACTTCCATAGTACGCATCTCACCTTCTATCTACCTTCGTCTTTGAAACACTCTTCTGTCCCCACCTCCCCCCCTCTCTGCTTTTTTTCACTTTGATGTTCCTTCCTCTCTGTGAAGCCTGAAGTCAACTAAAGGACTAATGATAACTATCAAAATGCCTACCATTTGATATAAATAAATGATAGTTATCATTGGCTCTTTAGTTGACTTTGGGCTTCACAGAGGCGAGGAACAGACAAAGTCACAAAAAATAGTTAGGGGAAGAGAATAGTGATTCACAGATGTAAAATTGACGGACAAAGGTGGAGTAAAGGAGAGGTGGGTACTATGGAAGTGGTTGAATATGCATGCAGTCGGGTTATGGTAATTTGAACTCCGTGCTTTAGAATACTTTGAGCACAAGATCTCTTAAAATTAAGCTCTTAAGCTCTTAAAATGTCTTTTGAGTACAACACTATGGAGTACTCTTCTTCGACATTGCTACAGCCCACTTTATGCATCTGAACTATGATGGTGATGTGACTGAAGTACTTCTCGAGTAATCCGAGATATTAACGAATATCACCGCTTCTATCCTTGTTTCTCAGACTCTTATCTCCATCACATATATCCTTTCCCTCTATTGATGTCTGACCCTCACCCACCCAATCCGGTTGTCTTAGTGAAATTGGTAGACTATTGAAGGGGCGTGGCTTATCTCGAATAGCTTGGGATGGGAGCTTCTATCAATATGAATTTTAATTAACATGCGTCTACCAATTACTTGTAGAATTTAAACAAGGTTTGAGCTTGGAGTATTTTTAAAAGGGTGGGGGGATACAAACAACACATTGACGTATGCAACGTCAAACTACAATGGCCCCACTGTATGTCATATTCTATCACTTCCACAGTACTCACCTCTCTTTAATCTCGTCCTTTGTGTCTGCCTGTCTCTTTCACATCTTTGATTCTCTCTTCTGTTCCCCCCCCCCTTCTCGATTTTTTCCCATTTTGATGTTCCTCCCCTCTGTGAAGCCCGAAGTCAGCAATAATTATCAATCGCCTGCCATTTGATCTAAAGAAATAAATAAATATTTGGGGTGCGCGATAGACTTACCTCCACGTGATGCACCCTGGACAACGTATCTTCGTACGGCAAAAAAGTTTATCACTCGGCATTTTGACTTCTATTTATTATGATTAGCTTGAAAAAAGGCTATAAGAAAAATCGCCCTCGTCAGGGCGAATCACAACGTCTTCAGATCCTCCAGCGGAATGCTGGAGGAATGTCACCAAATACAGAAAATCCGACAAACCTATGATGTGGACATTTTCACAATTATGGAAGCAAACATTTCGGATGACACTATGTAGTCCTACCAATTCCCAGGTTACACCCTGTACCTTCTACCATTACTACCCATTCCCAGGTTACACCCTGTACCTTCTACCTAGCCACCAATTCCCAGGTTACACCCTGTACAATCTACCTAAATATGGAAGCAAACATTTCGGATGACAATATGTAGTCCTACCAATTCCCAGGTTACACCCTGTACCTTCTACCGTACTACAAATTCCTAGGTTAACCCTGATGCCAAACTGAAGTACTACCAATTCCCAGGTTACACCCTGTACAAATCTACCTAAATACCGGCAAGTTGCAAGTGGAATTCTAAACTGGAGTAAAAGAAGGCCTCACCTCACACTACGACCTGATCACTGGAGTAAAAGAAGGCCTCACCTCACACTACGATCTAATGAAGAGTATAGGCTTGACACTAGACATATGCGAAATAATCAGAGTAATTGTTTGGAAATTTCAAAACCACTTCAAGGTATATGCAGTCTATAATCCACCCCAGAATTGTCCCAACTATTCTGAACATCTTACACAAAACTATAGTATTAGGAGACTTCTCTGAACATCTCACACAAAACTGTAGTATTAGAAGACTTCCAACGTCCATTCCATCAGATGGGGCTACAAGGATACAAACATAGCTGGACTTCTCACACAAAACTATAGTATTAGGAGATTTCAACGCCCACTCCACAAGATGGGGCTACAAGATACAAACATAGCTGGAATCACCAGACGGGGCTACAAGGATAGAAACGTAGCTGGAAAGGAAATTGAAGACATGCTAAACAACAACCCTCTGGAACTTATTTACAGCAATGAGGATCCGGCTACATATTTGCACTACAATGGAACCAGAACAACTCCTGACTTACTCTTGGCTTCAAGCGACATCAGTGAGCAAACACGCCGCAAAATAATTGACGATCCTGGTTCTGGTCACAAACCTGTCATTGCTAGTATTACCATCGGCAGCAAAAGCATGTCAAGGAAAGTGCCAACTAAGCTATCATGCAACTTCAAGAAGGCTGACTGGTCTAGGTTCACTAACCTTTTAGACAATGAACTTCACACAAGTCCCCTCAACTTCAACCAACATCCTGACAAACTTTGCACTGATATCACGAATATCATGATCAGATGTGCAAAGAAAACTATTCCCGGAGGCAAGACTAAAGACTATCGAGTTTTTTGGTCTAAACACCTAGACGAACTGAAAAGAAAGCGGGACGCCCTTCGCAACACTGCTGATCAGACTGGAAGAATGGAAGACATACACGCCTGGAGACGACAAGACGCCCTTCGCAAAACTGCTGATCAGACTGGAAGAACGCGTACAAACCTGGAGACGACAATCAGCTGTCCTAAGGCAAGCCATCTTAGAAGCAAAACGGACGTCCTTCGACAAGTTCATCTCAAATATCAACTAAACCGGACTTCCTTCAACAAGTTCATTTCAAATATCAGCTATTACGGACTTCCTTCGACAACTTCATCTCAAATATCAACTATGAAACTTACTTCGACAAGTTCATCTCGAATATCAACTATCAAAATTCCTTCGACAGGTTCATTTCAAATAACAACTATCAAAGTGATAGCCAACACACTTTTAAATTCCTGAGTAACCTCCAAAACAACAGAGAAAGACCCAAGAAAGAACCATTACGCTTAAGCAGCTAATTGCTTACCACTGACTCCGAAATAGCTAATTGCTTTGCGAGGTTCTATTCCCACAAGCAAAAGAAAAACCCTTTTGTCAGAAAATCTTCAAGAGATTTAAAGATACAAGACAGTTTGGTGAAATTAAGGAAGACATAGCAAGACCAAATAATGTACTTACTGAACCATTCAAACCTTGCGAACTTAATGCTGCGATAAAACAGCTAAAGTGCAAGAAGTCTCCTGGCGAAGATGGTATTCATCCGGAATTTCTAATTAGAATGGGACCAAAAGCCAAGGAAACCATGCTGGCGCTTTTCAACAAAATCTGGGAGACCAGTCTCGTACCTAACCAATGGAAAGTTGCCATAGTAATACCAGTACTAAAAAAGGGCAAAGGCCCTAGCGATCTTGTTCTATGGTATTCCGCCCCTAAGAAAAAAGCTCAGGGGAGGACAGAAAGTGCTCTTAATAGTGCACTTAAACTACTAGCAAACTGTTGCGATGACAATGGAATGGTAATTAAGACCGCGTAAACTGCATTCCAAACTTTTTCTTTGGCCCGTCACGGCATAAACCCGCTTCTAAGGCACAAGGATACTACCATAGAAAAAACCAATGAGTTCACATATCTCGGAATGACGTTTGACACAAAGCTAACGTGGAAAAGTCACATTGCTAAAATAGCAGAACGAGTCCCCAATTGACTGAATGTATTGAAGCGTCTTGCTGGTAGCGTATGGGGCTTTGCGCGCTCAACTCTCAACACCACTTACAAGATGTTTATTCAGCCAATAATGTTGTATTGCTGTGAGCCACTCATTACAGCCACAGAGGTGACTCTCAAACCCCTCGAGAAGGCACACAACCAAGCATTACGACTTATTCCTGGAGGGATAAAATCAACACCCATTGATGCAATGTTCCTAGTTACGGGAAGCACTACAATATGTTCCCTTATCAAAGAAAAGGCCTTGATCCTGTATGAGAAGCTACTGTGCATTCCCATGGATAAGTTCTGCAGCACCTATGAGAATAGACCAAGACATCTGAAAACGCAATCTGGTCTAATACAGAAAGCCATAGAACTGAAGAAAGAATTACAAATCGATGACAAACCAAAAAGCCTCTCTTTCCCCATGAACCCATTAGAAGACACTGGTGTAGTGTGTTGTACCCAACTGCTCGACTTCTTCAGGAAATCAAACACTCCTCCAGAACAAATACTCTCACTGACCCTTGAGACAATCAATGTCAACTATCCTGAAGATCAATGGCTCCAAGTCTTCACTGATGGGTCATACATAGAAAACCAAGCAAAC